CATTTGATTCAAACTGTTGGTCCAACCATCGTACATCAAAGTGGCACCCAATTTATTTCAATGAGCTTTTAATCCATTAATCCATTAATGAATTTATTGATACTCAGACTCTAAGTACACATCTAAAGCCTTATAAGATGTTGAAAGTTTCACATGTTGACCAACTTGTGTTGCCACAGAAATCAAAATAAGCAACCATAGAAGGTTTGCTAACTAAAAAGGAAGTCGATCATATATCAAAAATTTTGATACTGATTCATCTATCTTTTTTCTTAATATTTTAAAAATGAATCACTTATTTTTTGTGGCTTTGAACTCTTACTTCTAACCAATTTAGGTATAGCTCCTCTTAATAAAATTTAAACTCATTTGACGTTAATTTCCTTGTTCTTTCCTTAAAATATTCAGCAACTGAGCCATGAAAACTTCATCCTTCTTTATGTATGTTACTCCAACCACCAGTTCTTTGTCTGAATTCTTGTTTTTTGTGCTACTCATGTTGTGATTAGATACTACCTCACATGGCTTGTCTAGTAACGATGACTTCATCAATAAATCTTTCATAGTTATAGTTTTTCCCTCTTAATTGTGATAAAAATTCATCATTTCTCTTTTTGTTGTCAACTTTTTTTTATTTGCTTTCGTAAAGGAGTTTCATCATACTTTCTCTTATTATACTTATTAATAATATAGTTAAGAAAGAAAAGAAAAATTGGTTGCACATGCTTATGTAATTTTATAATTTTTATTGAGAAATTAACAATAATATTTTCAAAGGAATTTTAAAAATATAACATACTAGTAACATTGGAACATGATGTAACATTACCAGTTTTATGAGTAATGTATTCCTTGAAACATATTATTCTTCCTTTTATAACCTTACCACAAAGTTTACATAAAATATTTTCTTTTATATTTGACACAGGTGTTCTAAAATGCTAACCTATATCATCACTTAGCACGCCATCTACTCCTTTGCTCGAAAACTCTTCATGTTGTGGCATGCTTGCTATTTTGTATAAAAACAAAATAAACTTATATTTAGAAATATTAATATTACTTATTTCATCATTATAAATTGAATCTACATTAAATTTTTTAATTTTTAATTTTTAATCTTTAAAGTAATAGATCGTAAAACGCTAGATTTATTAAGTAACTTAATATTTTCGATACATTAATTGATGTAAAAATTTTTTATCACAAATTACTTTCAATATATTATATAATAAATAGAATCTTTAATAATTACATAAAAATAACAATAAATCAATAAGAATTAATTTAATAGCAAAAGAATTAACAATAATATAAATACAAAAAAACAAAAAAATTATTAAATTTCAAATACAAAATCATAAATTAATAAATAACAAAATTAAAATATAATATTTAATTTTAATTATTTTTCATCTAACTTATACAAAAAAAATATTAAAATTTTTCATCTGAAATCCCTATATATATATCATATTAAATTATTAATCTTTTAATTTTTTTTCAAAATCCTCAATCTCTTTAGCTTGATTTTATCTAATTTTTTTTTAAATTACAAATTTTCAAACTTATATTTTAATAAAATTAAGTACAAAATTAAATAAAAAAATCCACCCTACCCCACACGTCCCAGACTCCCACTCCATGCACCTATCCCACTCTAACAACCTCTCCCAAAATTTCCCAAATTTGGTTGCTAAAATCTCTCATCTTCAAACTTCTTCATGGCCTCGAGCCTTCCTTAAGTCAACCAACCTTATTCAAGTCTTCTTCTTCTCTTTTTTTTTTTTTCTTTTGCATCTCTTACTATCTCTCATGTTTCCTTGTCAATGTCACTGCCTACAAAGTACCTCAACTTCATTTTTTCAAATTCTCATAAAGATCAACATTATTCTACAAAAATTTTACAAAAAAAAATAAGTAAGTTAACTTTCTCTTACTTTCTTTGATCTTGATTGTTAATTGAAGATTTGAGGTTGATTTGAATTTAGGTAATTTACGAATTGAGTCAGGATTGCTACCGATTGAATGGTTGATAAATTATTTGATGTTATTTTCTAACTTTTTTTAGGTTGATTTTGAAACTGAAAGTCTGAGACTGAGTTATCTTTTGGCTTTTGTTTTTGCTTTTGCTTTTACAGTTTTAATTGCTTTATTCTGATTCTTGGGAAACTTGACAAATTATGTTGAAATTTTGTTTTTGTTTTTTTTTAATTTGAACTGGTGATGGGAAAAATGGGGATAGCAGCAATAACGGATCGTTATTACTGCTATTTCCCATTATGTCATTTTTCAAAGGTCGCTACTTACTGTTTCAAGTGTGATTAGATTTTTTAATCACATTTTTTTTTATAACGATGGCTATTGGTGGTGCTACCATAATTTTACGGTCGTTATTCCGCTATAAAACTATTATTTGAAACTATGATATAGACTCAGAGAATATCTATAAACAAATTAGGGTTAATATGAGATTTAGCCCAAGAACTATACAACTTATTACGATTTGATACCTATAAAAAAATTTATATATCAGACATCCAGACTTTATTTTCATCTAACATTTTAACCCACACAATAATTCTATTAGCAGTAAGTTGATGTGGTAAAAAACAACAAATATTTTTTGACACGTTATATATTTTTATTGATCAATATTTATCAAGTCAATATTTTAATAACATACGGTATTAGTTAATGATGCAAAATACTTGACAGAAACAAAATGCAGGTTTTATAAGCATCAAATCATTAAAGTAGTATAATTCAGGGGCTAAATTATATATTAATGCCAGTTGCGTTCTAGGAATTGAAGGACTTTTTTTTTTCTGATGTACGTAATCTCTGAAACTTTATTGTTGGATTCTAGCAACGATCACAGTCTTATTACAAGTTTCAGTCAAACTGTAGAGATTGAGTTGCTTGATTATTGGACTTTGTTCTGTGTATCCAATGCCATTCTTACTAGGTGAATTCTGACAGGGACGATGAATTTAGAATTGATCAAGGTAGATGACAAGGCATGAAAACATTTTATTGGCCACATGGGTTATGAAATTGACCAATAGCATTTGTTTCGGGCGTCATGATTCATGTTTGAATTCTTCTTTCAGTCGCCTTCATGAAATTTAAAATGCATGCAATTAACTATATAATCAATGACTATATTGGTTATGTGTGTGGATGTTCTAACAATCATCGAATTGAACTGTCCTTAAGCTTTTAGCCTAATGGTTAAAAGTGTTTGAAGGGATATTAAAAGTTTGGTTTCAAATCAGGCATTTTTTCTCTCTCTTTACTTGTACTAAAACTTTGCCCTCCTAATGTAATATTATCTATTAGACGGCAAATGCCATTGTCATATTATTTAATAAGCCATGTCGCATTATTGATGTAGAATTATAAAGTTTTTAAAATTAAAAAATTATTATAGTGTCGATCATTTAATTTTTTGAAAATTACTATTTTGATTATTAAATTATGAAATTTATTAATATTTTAATTTTTATTGTTGACATGTCATTTTCAATGTCGTTATATAATAATTTGATCATCAATATTTGTGAAATTTAATATAATAAATTATTTTATTATCTTTGTTATCTATATTAAAATATTTGATATAATACTCAATAAGCCCTCGAATGTTAGATTACAAAAGGTTGGATGATCAAATCGTAACTTTTTCATATTTCATTATGAAAATAAAAAAAAAATTCTAAAATTGAATGACTAAATGTATAATGAACTCTAATTTTTTTAATGAAAAGAAGAAACTATAGTTGATTAAAACAAAAATCAACAAGTGAATTGTGAAATCCAGCCCATCTCATATAATGATGACAAGGAAAGCCAAACTTGGTTTGCAACTTGATTATAGATTTGAAAGTGTGTTATGCGAGTGGTAACCCACCACACCTAAGGGCTGCAATTCGAAGGCCGATTGCAATAAAAAATGAAATGGACGAAGTGTCTAAACATGCCCTTTTACACACGACTCTTTCCGTAGGCAAAAGACAATAACTAAGGAGAGTATGCCATGGTAATTTCTTAATTAATGACAAAACTTAAATATTCATGAATTAAAGTTACTTAATTTCTTGCTTAAAACGGAATTAGCTTAAATCCAAGAATATAATCAAGGATTTGGAGGATCTTTTACTTGTTATTTTCTCAAATTTTTGTCCCCAAAAGCAATGCCTTACTTCCATGTTGGATTTTGGCTCACATCAAAACAATATTCAAAATACAAAATTTAATTTAATTAATTTATATAATAAACTCTTAAGATATGATCGATATTTAATAGATTTAAAATTTAAATATTAACACATATAATTCTTTGAAATTTAGTAGGACTGTTTCTTTTGTAAAAGCGTATTAAAAATTTATAAATTAACACGAATGAAAATAATTTTGAAAATGTTTTTTTGTTCTAAAAATTTTGGCTATGGTAATTATGTACTTCTTATATTAAGTCAATGGATATCACTATACACATTGAGTGTTGGGCCAGTTAGGATTGTCAGTATTTTAGCAGTAGGTGATTATCGATTTTATAACAGAGATAATTATAATTGTTGACTCGATAGTCAAGATATTGATGCAACTGTTAAAATTGTTGATATAACATAGACAATAAACAACATAAGTATTAATTAACTTTAATTTAACAATTAAACAAATATCTTTTTTATTCATTTAGTGAATTATATTATGCAGTTGATCGACAATTGCTTATAGTAGGTGAAGATAAAACGAAGTTTATCATGTGATAAATTAAAAATTGAAACAATAATAACGGAATAAAATTTGAATTTGATATCATATTAAGTAAAAAAATTTAAAATTAGATAAAAACGTCATATATGAATATAAAATCATAAGAAACTCAATATTTAATAAATATGAGATAATAACACTTTAATAATATTATAAAAGTAGAAACTGCATAATTTTCACATTTATGCTCCAGGGAGATGTCAAATTCAGAGGGCACTTCATATCCTGAATTGGAGGAAAAAAAATGGATGAGTTACAGTGCTATAGACATTAGCTTGATGAATCACACTAATTATCATGAGATTTACATACTGTTGAAAGGATATTTGAATTTTTCCGGCATCCGGATTGGCTATGGCTGCGAAAGCTTCTTGGGATAAATCAATGGTGCCTTGACAAGCAGGTGAAGGGCAATAGTCAACTATTTTCACCACCACATGTTCATTGCCTCTGCAGGGATGAGGGTCACCTTGGTTGGTTGCGCCTATGCATCTAACTTCGTATTTTCTGCCGCAAGCTGCTCGGTTATCCCAAATTGCATCACTGGCAGCCGCAATCATCACTCCTTCATTGTCGTACCCATAACAAGAAGAAGCTGCAATTTTCAGCACGAAATCATAAGTTAGACTAACGTCTTATGGAGAAATCTGTAAGACCAATGTCTCCAAATTGCTATGCAGGGGCTTACGAACGTATGGAGGAGTGTAGAAGGTGGCAGTTCCTTTATCTGCAACAGCTTCCCTCGAGGAGATGCAGACCATAAATGCAATGGATATGCAGATAAGGACGTTGCTGAATTTCACCATTTCTTCTTTGCTGCTACAAGGGCAACTTGATAAAGCAAACGATGGAGAATGCTGAAATACAGACTTGGAGAAGAGTATAAATAAAGAAGGTCTTGTAAAAATACTGTACGTTCAAATTGCATTCTTGGATTTTATGTACAATACATTCTGATCATGTACGTAATCTCAGTAACTTTATTGTTGGAATCTAGCAACCGATCAAAGTCATTTTGGAACCTTCAATCAAACAGCATAGTTTATCATATAATACTTGGACATGAGAAGGAATTGCAAGAGCTGGGGATTTAAAATCAAATTTGTTAAATTCTAAGTGTGATTGCATGAATTATTTAAATTAAATTTCGTGTATCTAATGCCATGCTTACATAACTAAATAAGGAGTTCAATTCTGACACGCAAAAAAAATATTTTATTAGCTTCATGATTCGTGAAATTGACCAATAAATAGCATTTGTTTTGGGCATCATGGTTCATGTTTGTATTCTTCTTGCAGTCGTCTTCTTGAATTTCAAAATGCGTGCTTACAATCTTTGTTTGAATTAAACAGAACATTAGCACTACAAGAACATTAGTAGTACTAATGTTTTGTCTAAAATGCAAAAGACAATCCCTAAAGAGAGTATGCCATGGCAGTGGCAGTTTCTTTACTGATGACAAAACTTAAATATTCATGAATTAAAGTTGTTTTCTTGCTTGAAACAGAATTAGCTTGAATCCAAGAATATAAATCAAGGATTTGGAGGGTCTTTTGCTTGTCATTTTCTCAATTTTTGTCCCCACAAGTAATGCTTTACTTCCAAGTTCGATTTTGGCCAAATTTTTTTTTTAATGTTGGATTATAGCATACGTAAAAACAATATTAAAAAATTCATAGAATAACATAATGAAAATAATTTTAAAAATATCTTTTTAAGTTTGAATTGTCAGATTAAATCCAATTTGAAAAAATAAATAAAATATTAATATTATGTTTAGATTCAATTTGAATTCGATCGTAAAAATTTTTATTTATTATTTAAATTTTATTATTATTATTTGTTTTTTATTTCATATACACTAGTGTTACCAAGACCAATTTTTCTTTCTTGAATTTAATGAATTAAACAAAATTATAAATATTATTTCTAGTATAAATCTCACTGCTGCAAAGTGCAGATACTTTTGTTCAAAATAGTTATGAAAAAGAAAATTGAAGGATCCTCTCATTAATAATAAGATCTCTCCGCTATTGACTTTTAGCAAGTGTAGGATCCTCTCTTTAATAAAAAGATAAGTTGTTTGGTCTAGTTATTTATTGTATTTCAATTTTTATCATATTGCACTATATTATATTAATGAAACACTTTAGAAAAGATCTGCAATAATATTTCATGTCAACATCGAATTATCCAGCTAATGGCTTCTCGTTTGGCTTTCCTTTCAGTAGTGTTTGCCTCTCTTCTTGCTTTTCATGAATGTGCGTTCTTCAATCATTTTTACTTTTTTTTTTTTTTTTATTTTTTCATATACCCTCTTGATCTTCACATATATCTCTTTTTTTTTTCTTAATGGCACCTTTGATGTGAAACAGATAGCAGAAGCAGCACCCATGGCAACTAGCTTGATTTTACCAAATCAGCAGGCAGCAAAATAACGCTCGGACCATGCAGTCATAGACTATGCAGTCTAGGAATATCCGAACGCCTTATCATGAGAATGTTGGTGCTGCATATCACTAGAACCACATCTGTGCTATCACGTAAAAGCAGACTGCGAAGCAAATTGCACTCTCGGACCGCCTCCTGATCTTGCAATCCCGTAACTTGCATTGCTTCGATAGAGCTGCTCTCTGGTTGTTCAAATGAACCATTCCCCTGTTTCCAATAATAATGAACAGCAAGTGGCCAAAAGTGTTTAGCTTTTTCATACTGTAAAAGCTATGAATGCATAAGTCTTTTCTACTTGTAGCTAACTGTTTATGATATTTGAAAACTCAATAACAAAGTGTTCACGGCTAAATTTATAAAAATCAAGGCAGAAGGACCCCTTTCCAAATGAAAGTTCTGAGGTCTCGAGAGAAAATGAGATTTACACCTTTGACTCCAATCCATTGTAAAGATCTATACAAACAAATGGGGATGGGGTTCCTGTGGTAGTATAGAAGTACTAAAACTCTAATCAAGCTTAAAATTGAAGTTGGTTAGAAATTATTGCCAGACCGTGTTTTTGATGCGGTCTAGAATCCTCACAAATTCAAGCAAACCATGTAGTTGTTCTTGTCTGCAGAAACCAAAATGCACCAGCAGGATGGGAAAATTTGCTGGTAACGTCCAAGCTGCATATATTTATCAGTTTCGATTTGTCTGCTTTCCCAAGAGGGTGGAGATGGCTGTCGCTATGAGTCAGAGATGGGTTTGGCTTTGAAGAACTTGGCTACAGCCTGATAGAGATTTTCTTCCTCAAAGGGTTTTGAGACATATCCATCCATCCCACATCTTAGGCACTCCTCATAGGTGGCGTGAATTAGATCAGCTGTCATGGCTAATATTGGCACATGCCACTCACCCTTCCTGGCAGACCCTTCATCCATGTCCCCGTTCATCTGTTCATTTGCCTGACTCTCCATCATTCGAATTCGACGAGTTGCCTCAAACCTGAAATAGAAGTTCATGATATTAAATTCAGACCTTGTCTTCTTTATACAATGATTAATATCCAAAATGATTTAGAGAGAACTATCTCCATTCGAGAAGACATGTCTCTCCAAAGTAACACATATTTCCAACCGCCATAGCAGGAAAACCATGGCTTCTGACCTGCATTTACACTCGCCCCTTCCACAATATTCAGATGTGGCCAGCAAATCACAAGCTAAGACCATGCGGTAATACTACATTTCATAGCATGCACTCACTCACCTTAAAATATTTCAGCAATTCACAATGTTAGATTTTCACATATGCAATGAATGAGGACAAATGGCAGGCATATGCTTCATGAAGTACAAAGTTACTATAACAATTGAAAAAGCAAATAATATTGTGCAAACATCAAATATTATGTTTAAAAATAAAAGTTGGCCAAATAGTTCAAGAAAAAGGTATTCTAAGTCTATTAAACTTTCTCATAGTAGCCCTTCAACTTGCTACATCTATTATTTTCTCAGACTATAGATAATTTTTCCTCAGCATCACTAATATGCGTTGGTTTGTTATCCAGCTCTATAACAAGTGATTTCGTTTCCATAAAGCAGTAACTTTCCTAGCACAGACACCTCAAAGGAAATCTGCATCACAAGGATTTTCTACGATTTCTTTTTAACAAGGCTGGACTGTCATTATGTCCTCTGAGATTCAAAGTTACTGCTTTATGTCATCTGTAATCTGAAGGATGTCAACAGCAAGCTCTGCTTAGATGCTGTTAATAGCCGGTAAAAAGAACCAGTTATTCCATATTTAGTGTGCGATTCACCTTTTCGTTTCTTCTCTTTTTTGTTGGCTCCTCTCATCATATTGCTCATATTTTATGGTATATCTCTTAGTCTAAAGACTAAAGGTAGATCTATACCGGTCATCAGGCGTCATACCACTCTAAGTCTACCCAATCCCCTTAAAATAGAGAGTAGTGTATTTCAAATCATAAATCCATCTCATTAGCCATAGTATGTGCATGTACATGTCTAGATAGAAATAAAAACAGATAAATAGGGAAAGATGAATGGATAAGCACAATTTCACATGCGAAAATAGTTTACATCTTTTAACCTGCTATATAAAGTATTACAAATAACTTACCATCCCATTAGAAAAAGAATATAATATCAGATCACTGCCATGGATATAAAGCAGAATGACACAACATAAGACAAACTTGTTTCTTTCTTTCTTTTTGGTATTTGATTGTCAATTGCTCAATAAGAGATATGGTATACATACCCATCCATTTCTGGCATTTGAATATCCATGAAGCAAGCGTCAAAACAGTGTGGAAGCTGAAGCAATTTTAGTGCAGCTTTTCCACTTTCAGCACATTCTACAGCAGCTCCAAACTTTTTCAATGCACCGGCAGCAACTCTACGATTTACCATATTGTCATCAACTACTAATATTTTCTTTCCGCAGAGTAGACTCTGAAGGATTGAAGGTCCATTCAGCATGTCTTTTCCTGGCTGCCTTTTCTTCCCAATTCCCAGCACCTGTTGAAGACATGCAGCCACCATACTTGCCCTCAGAGGTTTCATAATTGTAGTATCTGCAAAACCTGCTACCTTTGCTTTCTCAAGTTCAGCATTCGTAATATTCGTCGCAAGAAGAATCATCTTAGGCAACTTAAACACATGTCCATTCTGTTTCCAGTCCAACATTCGTAAGCTCAAACCACCATCCTCGCCAGCAAGCCATGAATCCTTCTCAACAAGAATTAAATCTGGCTGGATTGTACTTCTGCAATATCGTATGAAGTAATTCTACAAAGTTAAACATTATAAGATGGATAGAAGGTAGCATGACTTTTTTTTCCCAATGATTTATATTTAGTTGTCCTTATAGCAGTTTGATGGTTGGTTTAGATTTCAAAAACCATCTCTTACTTTTTTAACATTCATGGTAACTGAGAAGTGTTAGAAATTCTAAGTCAACAGAAATAACCCGGATCATAGACGGGTACCAGTACCACTAGGGCGTTAGAAAAGGTTCACCTGAAGAAACCGCTAGAATTGTTCAAAAGGAGTAAGCATTGATGATGTGTGATTAATTTATCAAGCAAATAATAGCCATCTGCTAAATTCCCAAAACTTAAAACATAATTTTACTGAATTACTAATTATCTTGCAAATACTAATAATAATAATTCTAAATGGGAATTAACTTACCCGCACGAAGAACCATTTTTCCCACATGCAGAAGCAACTATCTTTACACTACTTGCAACTTCAACCAGTATACCAAACCTCCTCAAGTGGTATCTCGTTACAGCAGCTCTAACTGGTTTTGCATCAACTACTATTGCTTTCAACCCTCTGAATCCGGAAGGAAGATCTTCAGCATTGGATTTTTTTGTATCACTAAATGAAGCTTTGTTACACCTCCCAAAAACAGCAGTGAATGAGAATGTGCTTCCAACTTGAGGCCGGCTAATGAAGCTTATGTGACCACCCATTAGCTCAACCAAACACTTAGTAATGCTCAAACCTATACCGGTCCCACCATAATTTCTGGAGGTTGAGCTATCTGCCTGCATAAATGGCATGAAAACCCTGTCCTGGGCAATTAAAGGGATCCCAATGCCAGTATCCTCCACAGAAACCATCAACGTGACATTCTGAGAAGCTTCATCAGCAGCTGTCGTGTTTATTGAGGCATCATATCGCAATTCTTCATCAGCAACTAAATGCTTGAAGGAATCCCAACTGTTCCGCTCATCAGCTGCTTCATAACCACTCAAGGTTTTAAACTGGCGTGCACCTGATACCAGCACACCTTCTTCTGACCCTCCATTCAAACAAGTTTCAGCTTTTGCATCTACCATGGGCTTTGTGCTTTCAGCTAGATGGACTTTAACAAATATGTGTCCCCGTTCAGTGAACTGTCAAACACATAATTTAAATGACTATCAACTTATTAAAAAGAAATTTTATGAGGAAATACTCAATCACATAGCAGAAAATAATTCATGCAAATTGACAAAGTTTCTTTTGGTATAAAATCAAAAACCTCCATCAATTAAGTAGATAACAATCCAAGAAAACAGTTATGGAGAAAATTAACATATACTACCTAAATGAGTGCCAAAAAGGTTGAAGGTTGAGCAAGCAACTTACTTTAACAGAATTCCCAACAACATTTGTAATTATCTGTCTGAATCTCCCTGGATCCCCCATAACCATTTCTGGAACTTTATCGGAAACAAAGACTGCTAGCTTCACTTCCCAAATGATTACACCATATTTGAGTTATTGTAATGCATCAGGAACATCATCACAACAACCCACCAAAGCAGAGAAAGGAAAAGCGAAAAAAGAAGGCACCAAGTTAGTTCAAGCATTACAAACCATAAGGTGTTTTCATTCTGGTCATAGGCATCCCCTTATAAGCCTATAGCATATATGAACTATCTAAAATAGAGAAACATACTGAAAAATGAAGCACTAGGTTTCTATTAATTTTATCTGGACTTACCTCAACACCTTTGTTTCTAGACTTCTCAGAAAATAACGAGAGCACATCATCTAGGATAGATCGAAGGTCAAAGGGAACAGTTTCCAGCTCCAGCTTTCCTGCTTCAATTTTTGCCCGGTCAAGCACCTCATTTATCAATGTTATCAGTGCCTTTCCACAGACTTGAGCAGTCTGAGCATAATCCCTTTGTGTTGAACTTAAATCTGTATCTAAAAGCAAAGCAAGCATCCCTGCAACCATTCAAAAAGTCAGCAGAACATTGCTGATTAAAATATGTTAATGTCGTATATTTTGCAGAGAACTTGAGAGATCTGGAATATACCAAGGATGCCATTCATGGGAGTCCTAATTTCATGAGAAACTGTTGCCAGGAACTATATCAAGAACACAAGCAATATTCAAGTTATAATTAGTTTTAGCATGGAAATGGGTGGTCAAAAAAGTGTTGATAGATATATCTTGAAAACTTACCTGCGATTTGGCAACATCAGCAGCTTCTGCTCGAACCATCAGTTCTTGCATTTCATGGAAATCATCTTCAACTTTAACAATGTGCGTTGCTGCACCATATAAGATATAGCCAACTAATATGAAGATCACAAAGAATAAGAATGCAGTGGTCAGTGCTGTTGATGATGTGGGTGCCTTCTGATGATATCTGCTCAGAATGCCAAACAATAAGTGCTTGCAAAAACAACCGCAGTCATTCCAGCAAACTTGTGAATAAGAAGTCAGTGATACACTTACCTACATATCATTTGATGCTTCCTAAATGGATCTCCAAAATCAAGCTTGCTTTCATGTAATAGAGCCAAATCACCATCTTGATTTTGGTGACCATACATGATCAGGTGATCTGAAGAGTTAGTAATATCGTATACATTCACTAGAATCGCCTGATTTCCAGCAAGTTGCCCAAGTAGATTCTCCACAAGAGACTCCACATCAAAGGCTCCACCAAGGTATCTGTGTTCATTTAGAAGTTTGTTTATACATAAGAAAATCTATAATTCACAAATTAAGAAATGCACTAACTGAAGCAATTGCCCAGTTTTTTATTTTATTCTTTTTTGAGAGAGAATTGTCAGTTTTTTTTTCAAGCCATCATAATAACTGCAAGCCTAATTAGCCGAGAAAAAAAAATACTAGTATTTAAAGAAAATCA